CCCTAGCATCTGTAGTAGGGAAGCCAATCCAACTGGATATGGCTACCATTAACAAAACCCGTCTAAGTTATGCAAAAGTAAAAGTTCAGCTGGATTTGACTGCTAAACTTCCAGATTATGTAGAGTTGGAAGTTGTTAATAGAAGAACACAGATCAATAAAGTTCAAAAGGTTAAAATACAATATGACATGCTTCCTAAATATTGTCATACCTGCAAGCTTCAAGGACACATGGAAGAGGAATGCAGGAGCTTGCATCCTGGAGCTCAAACGAAAGGAAGATGAGGCAGTAATTGAAGGATAAAAGAAGGAGAACAATCAAATATACCTATGCAAATGAGATTTATCAATGGGAAAATTGTTCACGCAAAATGGAATCCCACAAATCGATCGAAGATTCAAGATTGTTAATGGCACCACCAATATAATTAAGGAGATAGACAAAGAAAGGTCGAGTGCAGCAAAATGTGTTAATATTGTTAACCTTTTTGATGCCCTACAGGTGGATGAGCTAGAGGATGGAGAAGTGCCTGCAGATACACCGGACGATTTAAACAATGACAAGCATGAACATCATAAAGAAGTAATCAGGCAGGAGCATGAAGAATTGTACTTCTCTGAAGGGACAATAGATAAGAAATTACCAGTGGAGAATATAACAACAAATGCCCTCATGGGGAGGGAAGACCCTCAATATATTAAGGTGAGCTACAACAAAAATAATACAGATATGCCACAAGCACACATAGAAACTCCGGGAAAAACCAATTGGAGGAACAAAGGGGTAGAGAAAGACAATCATAACAGTAGCCATGAAGTAATCCAAGAGGGGATGAGTAATGGGGAGGATTCACAAAGTACACCTGCAACAGAAATAGAGAATGAGAAGGATGTGATGATTGTTAAGCACTAAGATGATGAAGTATCTCACGAATTTGTAGTACCTTTGCAGATTGATACCTCATGCACAAGTGATTTCCAGGGTCTGGAAGAAGGTACAAGTCCAGGTATCCTAATGATGGAAGATATTGCTTATAGAGACCCCAATGAAACGACAACCTTGATAGAAACCTGCACAAAAACACCACCAATTAGAATTTTACATGAACTGATCTCACATCAGAGAATAGCAGACACATGATATGGAGGAGGAGGCCAACATAGAGGACAAGTGGAGGACTTTGAAGAAGCTGACAATCAGACCAACATGACCTAAACATTGATAGATGCTGGTATACCAGACACTAGCACCACTAAAGGAAGAAATAAGGTGGAGAACAAACCTATCCGGGTAAACCCCAAGAGGGGAGTGAAAATAACTAATAAATGAAGTTAAAGGCATTGGTCTGGAATGTGAGGTCCATTAGAACTCAGAAATCATTCCACAAAATTCAGATGCTTCATATATACCATAAATTTTCCATTATTGCTTTAATGGAACCATTTCAAGTTATCAGACATATTCATAAATACAAGAGGAGACTGGTAAGCAATATGCTAACTACAATCAGAATGGGAAGATTTGGGTCTTCATTCAAGAGCATATTCATGTTGGTGTATTATCAGATACTGAGCTGCAATTATCTTTACAGTTACAAATACCAAGAAACTGGACAATCTTTAATTACTACATTTGTCTATGCAAAGTGTGATGAATAGGAGAGGAGGGGTCTGTGGGAGGACATTCATAACCTCAATATAAACATGAATCTACCTTGGTTGGTGGGAGGAGATTTCAATGTTATTTTTAATGATGAAGAGAAGATAGGGGGCTTTTTGTATGTCCACAGGACTATGAAGAATTTGCTCTTTGTGTCAACTCCTGTGATCTAGTTGACATTAATTTTAAAAAGTAGTCCATTCACATAGTGGAATGGAAGAGCAGATAAAGATTGCATATTCAAAATATTGGACATGTTGTTGTTCAATCAAGTTTGCATGGGTTTAAATGGTCTATGGTCTAGTAGAGGTTGAACACCTAGCTAGGACTAGATCTGATCTTGCCCCTTTACTTCTCACTTCGGGGGGGGGGGGGTCAATCCTCTTACATTAGAAGACCTTTCAAGTTTCTCAAATTCTGGGCAGGGTCAATCCTCTTATATTAGAAGACCTTTCAATTTTCTCAAATTCTGGGCAGAGGCTGCAGATTTCCAGGAAGTAGTTAAAGCTCATTGGTTAGCTACTAACTGTACATATATTTTCATCAGCCTAAAATAGAAAATGAAGAAGACTAAGACTGCACTATCTGATTGGAGTAAAGAAAAGTATGGGGACTTTTTCAAACAGATGCTTATTAGAGAAGAAATTGCCCGACTGGAGGAAAACTTATTTGAAGAAAACCTCTTTGTTGAAAATAGAAAGGTCTTGCAGAAGGCTCATGCTGAAATGAAAAAATATATCCATTATGAGGAAGAGTTTTGGAGGCAAAAAGCAAGCATTCAATGGTTTGTAGAAGGAGAAAAGAACACTAATTTTTTCCACAATTTAGTAAAGGGAAGAAGGTAAAGATTGGAAATAACTAGGATTCAAAATGCTGATGGTCTTTGGGTGGAAGGAGAAGAACAAGTAGCTACAGAAGCAATATCTTTTTTTTAGGAGTGGCACTGAGGTTGTCCTTATTACAACATATACCCAATTTGATCACTGATAAGATGAATAATGATATTAATGCTAGTCCAAGTATGGAGGAAGTAAAGAAGGTTGTTTTTGCTGTGAATGGGGAAAGTGCAAGTAGTCCTGATGGATTCACTGGCCACTTCTATCAAAGTTGCTGGAGCATAGTTGGTGAAGATGTTTATAAAGTGGTGAAAGCTTTCTTTGAGGGATACACCCTCCCCAAATCTATAACACATACCAACTTGGTTTTATTGCCAAAAAAATAAGTGGTCCAATCCTTCTCAGATACGAGACCAATTAGCCTGAGCAATTTCCTGAATAAAGTTATCTCCAGAGTTTTACATGATAGAATTGAAAGAATGTTACCTACCCTAATTTCAAAGAACCAATCAGGTTTTGTGAAGGGCAGGAACATTATTGAAAATGTGTTACTGGCACAGGAGATCATAGCTGACATTAGTAAGAGAGGGAAACCATCAAATATGGTAATAAATCTAGATATGGCAAAGGTATATGACAGAGTCAACTGGAGTTTCTTGGTAAAGGTACTGGAAAAATGGGCTTTGATACTAGAGTTAGGGACATAGTATGAAGACTAGTTGCTAATAATTGGTACTCAATTCTTATAAATGGACAAACACATGGCTTTTTCCATTCAACTAGAGAAGTAAAGTAAAGAGATCCACTCTCTCCAGCATTGTTTGTCTTAACTGCTGAGGTACTATCTAGAGCTTTAAACTCCCCATTTGACAATTCAGACTTTAAAGGTTTTGGGATGTCAAAGTGGAGTGACAACATTAATCATTTGGCATATGCTGATGATACAATCATATTTGTATGTGCTGACACTAAGTCTGTGAAATTAGTTAAGAATGTGCTTAAAGAATATGAAGTTCAATTAGGGCAGAAGATTAACAAAGAAAAAAGTGCATTCGATGTCTATCATAAAACTACTTTGGCTTAGATTTATACTGTGGAGGTGGAAACTAGCTTCAAAAGGGAAAAATTTCCAATGATGTACTTAGGTTGTCCCATTGGACAGGCAAAGAAGAGAAAGGTGCATTTTGCAAAATTATTGAAGAAAATCAACAGTAGGCTACAAACTTGGAAAGGGAAACTTATTTCCTATGGAGGCAAGACTGTTTTAATCAATAATGTATTGAGTAGCATCCCTATTTATCTATTATCTGCTACTAATCCTCAAAAATGTGTGATTTTGGACATGCATAGAATTTTTACAAGTTCTTTGTGGAATTTGAAAAAAGTGGGGAGAAATAAACACTGGGTTGCCTGGAGTGACATTTGTAAACCTAAGGAGGAAGGGGGCTTGGGATTTAGATCTTTATTTGATGTCTCCAAAATACTTTTTGCTAAGCTATGGTGGATATTTAGAACACAAAAGACATTATGGACAAACTTCATGTGGAACAAATATTGCAAAAGAGTGAGACCCCAATTGGTGGAATGGAAAGGGGGAACTCAGACCTGGATGAACATATTGGAGGCCAGAGATATGTTTGATCAAGAAATCTAGTGGGAACCAAATATGGGGCACTCTAGTGTATGGTTTGACAATTGGACTCAATTAGGGGCTCTGCACTATTATTTGCCTATCACTAATGAGCATGACACAATCAATGGGAGGACATCAGACAACTTTTCTAAAATGGGAGATGGAATGTAGAAAGGATACAACAAATTCTTCCTGAAAAAGTGAGTAAACATGGTCTTACTTAAGTAAATTGTGAAGAAAATTCTGAGGTATGGGATAAGCCCTGGTGGATGTAGAATAAATCAGGAAAATTTACTGTAGGATCTGCCTAGGATAGCATCAGACAAAAAGGAGATGTTCAACATTGTTTTCAGCATATTTGGAGTAGAGGGGTTCCTTTTAAGGTATCCTTTTTCTCGTGGAGGCTTTGGAAGAAGAGGTTACCTATTGGGGAGGTTCTGATAAGAAATAGGATATGTGATGAAATGATTTGTTGTTGCTGTGGAGAAGGAGTTCAAGAAACAATAGAGCATTTTTTCATGATTTACCTTGATTCTAAAGCATTATGGCTTTTCTTTGCAGCAAGAACATAAGTAGATGGTCCATTTATCCACATGAAAGATAGTATTTATAAATGGTGGCTGACAAATGGTGTACCAAAGGTCAAACCTATCTATAAGGTTGTTCCCATGTTCATTTTGTGACACATATGGAAGAGAAGAAATACAATAAAACATGGAGGGAAATTATCAGCAATTAGCATGAGGATGGAAATCTGCAGAAGTCTGGTGTACATGGCTCAAAACTTATATCCTTGGTTACATAATCTCCCCACATCATGGATTGACCTAGTGCAATTCCTAGAAGCATATACACCAAGGATTGAGTACAAAATGGTTTACTGGAAAACTCCTAGCAGGGGATATAAGTGTAACACTGATGGGGCTGCAAAAGGGAACCCTGATCCTAGCTCAGGTGCTTTTTGTGTTAGAAATGAAGCAGGAAACTTGATGTATACTGAAGGGAGAGGGTTTGGGGTGAACTCCAACCTTGTGGTAGAAGTTTTAGCATTCAAAATGGGATTAGAGTATTGTATTAATCACCATTATCTTCCACTGACAATGGAGACAGACTCTTTAGCCATAAAGAACATATTAGATGGAGGGTGGGAAACTCCATGGTGCATTATAGTAGATATCACAAAGATAAAGAGTTTATTGGTGGAGTCAAACACAACTGTAGAACACACCTACATGGAAGGCAACAAACTGGCAGACTTTTTTGCTAAACGTGTCTATTTTGCAGGTACAGATCTCCTAACATATTCATCAATTCAAGAAATATCAAGAGAAGCTAGAAGTATATTACAGTTGGACAAGAATCAGACCCCAAATCTTAGAATAAAAAAAATACCAGGATGGTAATTTCAACATTAGGGGGAGGGGAGCACAACAAAGAACAAACAACAATTAACAATTGCAATAACTACAAATCCATTCTTGAAATTGCAAAAAATTCCAATGGGTAACCAAATCGAAAATCAATCATTGGGGCAATGGGGAAATTTTCACACACAAGTCAATATGAAGAGTGATTCACTTACTCGATTAGTTAATAAATGGATCTATGGATTCTTCTGGCTTAGACAGTGGTATTAGCTCCAAGCTGAGCTCAACCTGTCAAGAAAGAGAAAACATAGTGAAGATTACTACCTAATCGCCTAAGGGGTTCTGGATAGAGAGGAGTTGGTCTCACCATGGTTGTGCAAGATAGGACTTGTAGTGCTAGGAGTTGAAGAAGCCTTTATTTGATTAATTTATGGCATTTGTGAGAGGTTTGAATGCCCTTGTAAAACAATCAAGACTCACTGGCACCTACGTTGTGAGCTCTAGTAGCCTGAAGGGAATCGACTCCACGTCTTCCGTTGTCCTCCATGGTTGTTTTGCTAGATGAAGTTCTGAAGAATGGCGGCTGGAATTTCCCATTTTCATTTAGTTTTGTTCTTCTTTCCTTTTTCTGCTTATTTTGTTGTTTTTGTTTGAGTTAGTATTGTAGTACTTTTGGGCCAATTTTGGGCTTTGATAATAAATGGTCAACTAGACCTCCTTTCAATTAAAAAAAAAAGATGATATACTAATTTGGGTGTTTTTAAAATAGAAATTAAATAATAGAATATTTAGAAATTTTGTAGTTTGAAAATGTGATAGAACTCCTCTGTTTATAGTTAATAAAAGGCAATATGAACAAGTGAATTTACAATCCTTAGAAAAATTACAATCCTTTAGAAATGTCATAACTCATTAAAAAAACCATCATCTTTCTATATGAGAAAGTGTTATCTTTTATTATGATATAATATAAAATATAGAAGATATAGCTACTGAAACTTTATTCTACTATATTATAAAAGGGAGTTTAGGCCCAATTATAATATATAATATTCAAGATTGAGACTTTTCCCAATCTTCAATATTATATATTATACTTGTGGGAATTTTAAAATTTCTACTATGCCCAAGTATAATATATAATATTCAAGATTGGGACTTTCTTGAATATTATATATTATATTTATTATATAGTAGAACTTGGGCATAAACTCCCTTTTAAAATTATATATATATATATATATATATATATATATATATAAATTTAAAAGGGAGTTTATGCCCAAGTTCTACTATATAATAAATATAATATTTATATATATATATATATATATATATTCTACTATATTATAAAAGGGAGTTCAGACCCAATTATAATATATAATATTCAAGATTGGGACTATATATATTCTACTATATTATAAAAGGGAGTTCAGGCCCAATTATAATATATAATATTCAAGATTGGGACTTTTCCCAATCTTCAATATTATATATTATACTTGTGGGACTTTTAAAATTTCTACTATGCCCAAGTATAATATATAATATTCAAGATTGAGACTTTCTTGAATATTATATATTATATTTATTATATAGTAGAACTTGGGCATAAACTCTCTTCTAAATTATATATATATATTGGGCCTAAACTCCCTTTTATAATATAGTAGAATATATATTGATAATTATTGTAATTTTTAATGCTTTTTAAGTCATTTGTAAATGATATATGTTGCTTATATATATATAAAAGTCACAAATGGAAAAGTCCCAATCAAGGAAGCAACATATGTCATTTACAAATGACTTAAAAAGCATTAAAAATTACAATAATTATCAATTTAAAATATCTAAAAGCTATATAATAAAATAGGTTGACTCTCAGAATTGTATCAGGCTCACATATATTGGGACAGAAAAAATAACACATATCATTTTAAAATTACCAAAAAAGTATTATAAATAATAATAATCAACAACTTAAAATATATATATTCTAAAAGGGTTAATTTTGTAATTTTATCCATATCACATAAATTAGGACAATGTGATCAGTAATGTACGTTATTTCAAAGTTACATAAAAATATTATAAATCACAATAATTAACAACTTAAATTTTTTTTAAAAAACATATGAAAATTTGGATGACTCTCCAAATTTCATTTGTGTCACATAAAGTGAGACAACAAAAATAACATATATTGGGTCCATTTTAATTTATTTGTCTTATTTTTTTATATTTAAAAATTGTATAAAAATACTATAAATCATGATAATTGACAACATAAAATATGTTTTGAAAAAAATACAAAAAATTCCACTGATTCTTGAAGTGAATCTATCGTAAAAATACTATAAATCATAGTAATTGACAACATAAAATATTTCAAAAATGTTGTATGTGGGTAGTCTTATTATGCCTTAAATAGCGTCAAAGAAAGTACAGGTTTGTGATAAAAAAAACTTATTCCTTTATCCACGCAAACAATCGCTTCAAAAACTAAATTTTATAAATCACAATAATTAATAACTTAATTTTTTTTTAAAAAACATATGAAAATTTGGATGACTCTCCAAATTTCATTTGTGTCACATAAATTGAGACAAAAAAAAACATATATTGGGTCCATTTTAATTTATTTGTTTTATTTTTTTATTTTTTTTATATTTAAAAATTGCATAAAAATACTATAAATCATGATAATTGATAACATAAAATATGTTTTGAAAAAAAAAACAAAAAATTCCACTGATTCTTGAAGTGAATCTATCGTAAAAATACTATAAATCATGGTAATTGACAACATAAAATATTTCAAAAATGTTGTATGTGGCTAGTCTTATTATGTCTTAAATAGCGTCAAAGAAAGTACATGTTTGTGATAAAAAAACTTATTCCTTTATCCACGCAAACAATCGCTTCAAAAACTCGGTCATTAGCCCCAAAACATATCATTTATATTATTGGGCCCGTGCTATCTAGTGTTAATATACGAGACACAAACATTGAAATCATGCAACTTAGAACAAGTGGCTTAGTTTGGCTTTGGTAAAATGGTAGGTGTAGCATAGTTTTGGGTATGAAAAGAAAATGACAAATAAGTAGCAAGAGCAAAGTTGTCCCTAGTACAACACGTGAATCATTACTTGTGCTACATTGCTAGTGGTTGAATTAGGTGTCATAAGAGACATGACAGTACTTACAATAATTAATTCAACCACTACGAAAAATCCTCCTTATCTGCTAAGTTTAAAGTCTCACACCAATTCCTTATTCCTTTAAAAGTCATCAGTGGTAGCAGTCCCAAGCAAAAACAGAATGAGTTACGAGCATGTTCATGAAGATCCCTATCCTCCACCAGGCAAGTTTAATTAATTAACACACTGATTATACTTATACATACCCAATTAGTTTCAATTTTACTAAATTTTGTTTTGTTAAACTTGATTGTTAGGTTATGCTCCACCACCGCCAGGGCCACAAGGATACCCACCTCCAGGACAGCCAGAACCAGTTGGGTACTACGGTGAAGCACCACCACCACCACCACCAGGACCTCCCAGTTATCAGGGATACTTTAATGATCAATATCCGCCTCCTGATCACATCCACCATGACCAGCCTGCTGATCATGATAGCAGTGGTTGTTGTTCCTTTTTAAAGGGCTGGTACGTCTTTCATTCTCTCACTCTCTTCAGTCCTCCATGTGCAACTCAATTTTCAAGATTCTACAATTCATCAGTTGAAATTTTTTTTATTTGTACAGCTCCCGGCAATTCCACATCTTTTTGTAATCATTTCCCCTAAAATAGCGTCAAGTTCCCAAAAATAGATTTTTTCGACAAGTGAGACCAAAGATAAAACAAATGATCTTCTTCCTTTCTCGGTCCACCTGAAATAGGAGTTTTTTCCTAGACACTCGACTTTGGAAGTGGTTAATCTAAGATTTTAAGGTTGTGGGTGCTCTGAAAGTGGCAGAGTAAAAAAAAAAATTAAAAACTCTAGATCATTTGTTCACTGGGTGCTCTATGTTAATTTTATACAAATGTCTCTTAATTTCTACATATATATATATATAGAGACGAGGTTAATGGGTGCTCGAGCGGACTCTATGTGGGTCCACCCCTGTCGAGAAGCTTACAATTACTTCCCTCTTAACATGTTAAATCAACTGTTGTGATATAATGTGCTATTGAAAATTCTTCTATAGTTCACCAGCAATAATTCAGTAGGTAGCATGAGACAGTAATCTGCTGTGACATTACTTGCATTGACTCTGAATTTAGAGAAGAAAGTTGTGATAGGCTGTGCACTTATGTTTTTGGATGAAATGTGGGATCTTGAGAAAATTTGAGGCCGAATAACAATCCTACATTAACATATGTACAATGCATTAACTTCATTACCAACCATTGTCAAGATGGTTCACCCTTTTGCCTGTAAAAGAGAGAGAAAAGAACGTATTGAAAATCTTGGCCAAGATGAATGCAGTTTTCTTTGAACTGGTAAAAACTGAACAATTTTTCTTTTGGTAACTATGCAAAAGACTTTTAATACAATATCAGAAAACAGTAAGATGTCTTGAGGAACTTTGATGTGGTGATCATCAAATTTGAAATAAAGGGATGGTACTTTGGAAGAACTAATCACACATCCTATGCGGGAAAACATTCTACTTCATAGTGATGAGTGTTGGATTTTGGTTCATAACAGGGTTTCTGCTTGGTCAACTCTTGATTGTTCCTATCCCATGCCCATGGGCTATTTTACTGAAACAGTGATGGGAGCTTACAACTGCTTTGATTGATTAATTTGCTTATGATGAATAGTCATATTTGGATATAATATGTGGGTTAGGAGTAGCATGGACAATCGTGACTGCAATTAGTATGTGGACTTGAAGGAAATCAATCAAACTTGTGGACCTAAAATGAGGCTCTTAAATACAGAAATAGGTTTCATCAATTACCTGTGGTGTTCTTTTAATTAACTCATCCTTTAGTTTCTGATTTATGGAGTGATAATGTGGT